GAATTCACAGCCTTCCTTCATCCTGAAGAGTTTGACCACATGAGGGACGTTATAGTAACGGTGAGGCTGGATATACTAACACTAAACAGTGCAAATTGCTCTGGTTTATTAGGCTATATAAATCTAATCATTGTGGCTTACTCAGGATAGCATGTCACAGCAGATTGTTTGGATCCTTCAAATTTCTACTTCCTACCTAAATTGCTTTCCCATAACTGTATTTGGATAGAATTAGAATTTCAAATTCAAATAGAATCATCTCCATTTATTTATTTATTTATCACATTTATATGGCTGTCGATCTCATAAGAAGCAGTTCTGGGTAGTGTACAACAATCAGTAAAAACAACATAATAATGATTATAAAAATCAATAAAAGTGAAAATACTAAAATTCATAGGTTATGGATCTTATATAAACCTACAACGAATGAATTGGAAATTTTATTGAAAACAGAGAATTTATACATATAACAAAAGCAACACTAAATGGTTGCTTAGTGAATCCATGTCTGGATCCACATTCTCTTTTTTTGCCATAGTTGATTTTAACATAGTTTGACTACAGTGTTCCCATTCACATGAAATTTCAGTCATAGACCATGATTTATGAACTCTTATTACTCCCAGCATGCTAAGCCCAAACCAAGCAAATTGCAGCTTTTAATATAAAGATCAACAACTTTTTCACTTGGTGGGTATCATTGTTTTTATATAGTATCAGGTAGGCAAAAATATTTTAATATATAATTTATTATTCAGTGGATGCCATCTACTAGTATTATGGGTTAATCTTCAACTTAACATGTAAATTCAAATACTGTATAAAAAGGTCAGATGAGTTTTTCTCAACTACAGCAACCAGAAGGTGTGTAGATTTCAGATTTCCTAGTCAGCAAACTGGTTGGAGAATTCTGGGAGTTGAACTTTACAAATCTTCAAATTATTATGTTTGAGAAACACTAGTCTAGATTCTTGGCAAGGGATCAGAGAAACTTTGTTTCAAAACTTCTCAAAAATATCAAGTAAATAATTATACCAAGACTTTCAAATAATACATAGACATAAAATTTAGGAGGTTGGGATTTATCAAGTTGAAGCAAAGATCAAAGACCAAGAATTATCTGAATCAGAATAATCTGATTGCATGCTTCAGAATAGGATTGTCTTGATCTTCCCAGCTCATGACAGCTATATTTGTGACAGCCCCTCTTAGACACTTTGCCATTAAAAAAACTGATGGATCGTGTATATGTATTGGTTGGGTGGAAAACAAATTTATTAGTTAGCACATAGATGTCACTTGGGTGACTCATAAAAGAATGGAGCTGAAACTGCTGCAAAAAAATTTGCAACAGCTTCAGCAGCTGTTCTTCAAGGTTTATTTTATTAAAACTTCTATTCCTGCCTTGCAGTTTCTATTTATACTGTATTCTCTTTCTCCCCTTTCCTTTAACAGTTCCTTACCTCTCTTGTGAAATGTTAGATTTTTCCTTTAGAAAATATTTCAGATGGTGTAAAGGATCTTTCTGTGAAGGATTTTGTAATTACCAAATGAAAATGTAACACTATTCTAGCATTCTCTTTTTGAATCCTGAAAAATCCGGAGCTCATTTTTTACATGGGAAAAGGTAGCAATAATCTGATTTATGCTTGTAATATGATAAGCAAGAATGAAATGTGACTACTGCTACCTCAAAAGCTGAAGTGAGATGCTGATTTAAAATGCTCCCTATGTTTTTTAAAAAAGGAACAAAAAAAATCCCTCTAATATTCTGTCTGCTGTCTAAACTATGTTTATGAGTTTCAGGTAAAAAATGAATATTTTCTCCAAAATGTCTAAGAAAGTAGTCCAGTATACTGTGTTGCATTCAGCATCTCCTTTCTCCCAGATGCAAAGCTGACTATAATCTTAGAGAAGTCTTTCCCAATTTTCTCCAAAATGATAGCATACATGGAAACAGCTGTGTGTTACAGTAGCTGCTTTGCAAGTAGAATTTGTCAATTCAGACAAATCTGGGGAAAATCTCATCTGAGACCCTGGAGATCATTGTTGATTAGAGTGTAGATGCTCCTTTGAGTAATCAAGGGCCAAGCTTAGAAAGCAATTATGACCCACCCATATTTTCCAAGACATGACTTCCTTGCCCTGCAACAGACATATACTACCAAGCATCTAGGAACAGAAATTGCCTTTTATTACAGGCACTATTTCTTGAGGTTTTGATACTTTTTGGACAAATGTTTGTGGGAAGATGTACTATCTCTGTACCATTAAGAGTTACCCTTCTCACTTTTTCAGGAAACCCTGGAGGACATAGATAAGAATGGTGATGGCTTTGTAGAAGTTGATGAATATCTTGGTAAGAATATAAGAATTTCTGCCTGAATGGCAATGGATTACCCCCTATTAAGATGTAGGCTGGTTTGGGGCAGAGCTGCAAGCCTTTTTTGAGCGCAGGGAGAGGAGATACTGAAGACTCAATATCTCTCCTATCCCATTCCTTCATTGACTTGGCTTGATTAGAAGAAAGATTCTACTTTAGTCCAGCACCTGGGGTTAAAGGGGATTTTTGGTATCTCACTTATTCTTATTGATCAGGTGACATGTATGCCCCTGAAACTGGGGAACCAGAACCTAGCTGGGTGACAAGTGAACGCCAACAATTCTTGGAACACCGAGATATCAACAAAGATGGGAAAATGGATCGGGAGGAAATTGGGCACTGGATCCTGCCCGCAGATTATGATCATGCTGAAGTGGAATCCACGCATCTCCTTGTTCAGTCGGACAAAGATCTGGTAAGAACAATCCAGGCATAGGGAAGGAGCTGCAATGTCAGGGGAAGGCAGAAGTTGAGATATGTGGACTGTGTGTGACCCACTAACATTTTTTTTTTGAGAGCCTAAATTGGGTGAGTCCCCAAGAATTAAACTTGAAGATTTTACTTTAGGTAATTTTAGCTCCAGGCCTCTTGACCTGGATATGAAAGTAAAAGTAAAAGATTTTGATTCTCCCTCAAATCACGCTGGGTATCAATGCATTCCTTAAAGACTTCTGTCCTAGTTTGCTTATAATTGGAAATTATTACCGAGTCCAATGCAAATTCATGAAATGAAGAAATAGGTCATTTTTTAATTATGAAAGAAAACTATTTTTGGGAAAGGAATAGAATTTAAAACAGCGCGCATTCTTTCCTTACTTTTTCCTCACTTTATCTGTTTCAAAAACTGTGCTTATACTCTACTTTCAAAAAGCTAGTGCAATCAGGTCAAATCTCTGGCAGAAGCTATTTTAGTTAACCTACAAAGAGAGGAAGAAAAAAAAGCATGTAGCTCACCAAACTTTCATTATAGGCTTGTCTACTAATATTAGGCAGGATCTGACCAGTACTACCAGTTACCGTAAAATTTAATACTTGAAGCTCATCTTTATTCATTTATTCATCCATCTGTTTATTTATTAAATTTATATGCAGCCTATCTCTGTTTGAGGCGACTCTGGGTGGCAGCATTTTGTTCAGGATGGTGACTTGTGGGTGGCTTTGTGTCACACACTGCCAATTCCTAGGATATGCAACTTCCACTATTTGGCTCCAATTGTCTATCTTTATGTTTTGAAATAGCAAAATAGAAAGCGAGCAACTCAGAATGTACTATTGTAGATCTTTTTTTAAAAAAATCATTTTAGGGGGGAAAATAGAGCAATTTCTGTAGTACCACTAAGAACTTTAGCCCTCAAAATGAAGGAAAATAATATTTAAACCCAACTGCCTCCTCTAATGATCTATTGTCGCATGAACTGTTCTAAGAAGCTGGAAGCACTCATATTTTAAAACAGTTTTCCTTCTCCCTGAAAAATTAATACAAGTGGCTTTTACGTTTTATATATAATTCACTAATAACACAATATAAAAATGTTAAAAAATAAATGATTGGGATGTAATTGGGTTATAATTGTGCCCTTCTCTCCTTGCTTTTCTATTTCTTCTCCCACTGCTTCTCTTCCTCCCCATATCACAGGATGATAAAATAACCAAGCAAGAGATTTTGGACAATTGGAACATGTTTGTGGGGAGCCAGGCTACCAACTATGGTGAAGATTTGACAAAGAAGCATGATGAACTGTGATTGGAGTGAGGGGGGGGATATACAACAGCGGGTTCTCCCTTACATGGGAGTGGGAGAAGCACACTCCAGAAGGAATTGCTGTCTATTTATTGTTGGAAGGGCCTGCTTAAACTTTCTTCAAAAAATAATGTAGCTGGCATACTTGGGTGATTTCCCGTAGGATCCATTCCTGTTCTTCTGCAATCTCTGTCTCCCCCCAAAGCACAGTGAGCCCTTGTCATGTTATGAAGATCTCCATGTTCCAGAGGCATTTGGGAAGAAGGAGATTAAATACACCTACACCTTCTTTCATCAGTGCATCTAATCTCTTCTGTAATGTTCTTAATGCACTTCAATTCTTCCCTTGCAAGTTCCACACTCTAAGGGAAAGCAAAGATTAGTTCCTTCAAACATTTCCCTTCTTTTAAGAAGACAAATACGGCTGTTTTCTTTTCAAACACTTGTCTGGGACCTGTTGGGAATAATGAAATAACCACTTGGGTTCAACATTACCTCCAGTGTCTGTTTTATATAGATAAAAAAAGTTGAATGCAAGTTGAATATATTTTTAAGCATCTTAGTGGTAGCCAATACCTTGGATAAATATTGCTTATCTAGGCTTGTAGTTCTTTCTCTGTACCCTTTCCTTCTCCAGGATAACAGGCTTTCCCGGGATGAAGTCATAGAGATGATGAAGCACAGCATTCAAAGCGCCAAAGAGTATAAAAACACAGTTGATCACCTGGGGGGCCGCCAGGAGTTGTGACCTTTTAAAATTGTAAAATTTTGGATTACTAATAAAATCATTTCCCAACCTCTCAGGATATTGTGCCATAGATTAGACAACAGAAAAAGCAGCAAAATTTTAGGGGGGAAAAAGTTGATCCAATAGAAGAGCATGTCACTTTTTTAATAGTAATCAATTTAAAAGATACACTGAGCCTTTGATTGTATAAACTGCACCCTCTATTTTCCTTTCCAAGATAGGAAAACTTGACAATTAAAAACTTGACTCCTAAAAATAAGCTATTGATCACACATATCCCCAAGTTAACAATTCTTTCAAAAACCTTTAAGCAAGCCTGGTTTACAAAATTACAGGATACTTTGCCTTTCTTTATATGCAATGTTAGCTCTTTTAAGCTAGCAGATGGCAGTTCGCATCAGGTAGAGAATCATCTCTTTCTTTTCCACCTGAATGTATTAAGCTTGCATCACAGGCCGAGATTTCTTGGCTTCCAGCTCCACACCTGACCCTGCAAATCCTGTGCCGCCCTGGAAAAAGAGAAAGCCCAAGTAAGGGAAGAGGAATGGCATGATGAAATAAAGGACCACACTTATCCTGTCCTTGATGGTTAGGGAGTTTATGTTCTGCTCAGCGCTTGGGCTGGGCAAAATTACAATTGAAGCCCAAACTGCTTTGCTTGATAGCTAATCTCAGGGCGTGTGATTGTCCTGGGAGGAGGAAATTTTCTGCAAATGTTCAGAAGCGTTCAAGGTATGTAGTTCCCTGCCCTCAAATTTGCATATCGTACTTTGCTCTAAATGTGGGTTAACAAAACAGGACTGATGCATTCATGAGACTTGCTATTTTAAAATCTCCCATATCATAGTGACATAAATATGATATGCTTTATAGAACATGCTAATAGTTTTCTACAACCACAAACTTCAATAGGTGCCCAAGAGGTAACATTCACAATCCAAATCCAGAGAAATTATTTATTTATATATATACTTTTAACGTTTTATACTTAAAACTTTTGTTTTATATTAAAACTTTTAACGTTTTAACTTTTCCTGGTGATCAAATTTTATTCACAATATGCACACACCCAGGAATCATGCTTCTATTTTTAGTATTCTTTTTAATATATATATATATATATATATATATATATATATATATATATATATATATATATATATCTGTACAGATCTTTGAAGCGCTAGAACAGTGGTGGCGAACTTATGGCACGGGTGCCAGAGGCGGCACTCAGAGCCTCTGTGGGCACGCATGCTGTCGCTGGGTTTTATAAAACCTTTTCGCTTTAGGCCTCTGCCATCATGTACAAAAAAAAGGTTCAATCAATCAGTCAATTTCAACTTCTCATGGGGAAAAAAGGATCTTGCAAAGTTGGAATTGACTGATTGAACTTTTTAGTCCCACCCAGTCTTCTGTTACCACCGCAGCCACACCTACCCAATGGGCCACACCCACCCGGCACCCAACAATACATAAGTTGGTTTTGGGTTGCAGTTTGGGCACTCAGTCTCTAAAAGGTTCGCCATCATTGCGCTAAAATGTTTCCAAACACATCACACAATACAGAAATTACTTGAAAACCTAACTGAAGAACTGCAGGATGGTTACCTTTTACAACAAAATGATAAGGAGTCATTGCTTAGAAGGCTATAAAGGAAAGCCATCTTAATGACAAACTTCCCAATAATTAGATCAATATAAAGATGTTAAGATTGATTTCAGATCAAATATCCCTCCACCCTTCAAATGTATTGGACCTGTACCTGCTAAAACTGCCTATTCTGGAAGCCCACAGGACATGTGCTTTAATAGTCAATCTCACCCGTTGTAAAACTATGATGTCTTTGTCAGTCAACTTCTCCCCATTCATTGGATCAACCATGTCCTTCTTGATAAGTTTTTCCACACATTCCAGAGTCACAACTGAGCCTCTTGAAGAAGAAGAAGAAGAAAGATTATCTCTTTTACATATTAAATGTAAGACAGATTCCCATGCTTGGATGCAACTAGAGATTTCATCTGATAGATAGCCTGCTAGTAAATAGCTTTCCTCACTCCAGAAAAGCCCCATCTCATTACTCACGATGGACGCAGCACAGCACAAGGGACCGAGTTTCCAAGCATGTCTCGTGTGACAGCACATACATAGCGGTCCTGCCGGTTGATTAGTCCAACGCGATCTACACTAGGATCTACAGGGGTGAAGTGCACTGGGATCAAATCTTTCAGCTTCAGTGGATTCCTACTCATGGGGCAGTACACACACTTGTCCTAGAAAAAATGACATGAATAAGATAAACTGGGATAAGATAAAATAATCCTAGAAACTGTGGGACTGTGAATTCTAGCCCTATCTTAGGTACAAAGTCAGCTGGGTGAATTTGGGTCAACCTTCAGCCTTAGGAAGGAGGCAGTGGCAAACCATTTTGGAAATCCTTCCAAGAAACTGCAGAGACTTCTCCAGGCAGTCACCAGGAGTCAACACTGATCCAAAGGTACAGCATAGAGATGCAGATTAGAATAAATATGGAAACATGTATTCTAATCCTGTCTTTAAGCAAGCCCTCAAATATTCAAAATTCAAAGCTTTATTTGTAAGATCTGATATGCAGCTGGAAAATCAGAAAGTGCATTTAGTGCATTTAAATATATATCTATACATGCCATACGTCATAAATAAATTTTAATAGTATCTTCCAGGTAACCTGACATTCTATTCTCCCCCCCCCCCAGATAATCTTTAATCAGCAAATAAGGAACTTTATATATCTGGATTATTTAAAAAATGAATGAAATTTTTAAAATATTAGGCAAACAGCCATTGTGACTAGTTATGGGATTTATGGTTCAATAGATCTGGACCAATTTGGAAAAGGCAGCACAAGCGTTTTTTGTCCAAGAGCCATGAACAAAGAAAAACCAGACTAACAGAAGAGCCGTTAAGTAAATGAATTAAGTAAATTTAAATCATTAAGTAAATTAAGTAAATTTAAATCATTAGGACTTCTCCTAAGAACTCTGAAACTAAAAAAAACCTTTACTTTTTAGTTTCACAAAAGCTTTGTGAATACAGCACCATATTAATCCAAGATTAAGAGGTTTTATAGTTCTTTATAGACATGGCAGTTAAGCTAGTTTAGTTTTATGGTGTACACAAACTGCACAATGTACATATCCTTATAGAAGGCAATAGAATCTTGAAAAGGAATGACAAAATAAAAATCATATTGATTCAAACTTAACAGATTTTGTTGTTCTTTATAGAAACCATGGCTGTTAAGCTGATTTAGCTTTATAATGTAGCCAAACTGTAAGATGGTTTGGTGAATCTTGAAAAGGAATGACAATAGCTCACTGGTTTTGGAATGGCTTTGGTCTTGGCCTCAGGTGTCAGTGAAGGGATCCAAAAACTTGGTAGCTGTTTGGCCTTTTCTCCACTGCTGGGCCCAGGCTGAGAGTCTCCTATAATACAGAGAAGAACACAGTTATTAAGTTCTACAGATTTTTTGTATAGATATTTTATTGTTTTTTAACTATAACAATCTCCAGTGCCTGGTGTACAGCGTGTTGTTTTGGTTTATATTTTAACAAGAAAAAAAGGACAATAATAATTAACAGTCAATAATGATTAAATTTGATAATTCCATAATTAATATATTAATTAATAGTACATTTCTTTGATCTTCCCTTCTCCCATTTGTATTCTCCTTCAACCTTAGCCAAAATATAATTTTGAATATTTTCAATGTATAAATGATTAGGTATAGGCATTTTTCATATTTATACAAATAATAATAATCTCTATATACAGTATAACATTTTTTCAGCTTATATTATTCTCATAACCATCATCTCATTAGTTCAGCATACATCCTATTTTCATAATTTTTGTTCGCTTAGATTCCCTTATATTCAATTCAATTCTTATCAGTTATAATTTTTTCATATTAGTCATCACTGTCTAAATTTTCCCATTTAAGTACATCATCCCAATATTTTGTCACGCATTATAAAAATACTAGATGCTTATAGTATCTAGATATAACATCCTTTTTAATCAGTTTATATTTTACTTATATATTAATAAAAGTTACATCAACCTACTATTTTAACATTTAATATATTATAAAACATACTATATTACTTAAATCTCATTATCCTTCTTGTTATAAGGCCCCTTTATGTTCGAAATTCTCTGTTCTTTTAGCCCAGTGGTTCTCAACCTTTTTAATGCTGCGACACCCAACCAGTCGTAAGTCGAGGACTACTCAACCGATCATAAGTCGAGGACTACTCAACCGGTCGTAAGTTGAGGACTACTCAACTGGTGCAGCACAGTTTGCAGAATGGGACTTTCGGCGGGCTCAGCAGGGCAGAGACAGCCTGGACAATTCCTATTGGCTTTTGAAAGCCAATAGAATTAGACTCTATTCAAGAGAGTCTATTCTATTGGCTTTCAAAAGCCAATAGAATAAAAGGGAGTAGCACAGCTAAGGAAAAGGGGGAAAAAATGGCGGACTGCGTTGTTTGGTGACCCCCACGAAATGTTCGTTCGGCCCCAAATGGGGTCCCGACCCACAGGCTGAGAACCACTGTTTTAGCCATATTCAAACAAATGTTTATTCATGTAATAGTCCATCTGGTAGGGCGAGTCAAATCTCTTGTATCTGTCTCTGATCTTCTTCTTTTGCCAAGTAATTTTCCAAGTTGATGTAATCCGCTTACCAACAGTTCCTGTATTTTTACAAACGTTGTTGGGAATACAAAAGATTAAGTAAGTAAGATAAATTCTTTCTGTCCCCCAACTTTTAATAGTTCTCCTAATAATTCCATTTTCCTTGTTGTATCAGAACCTTGTAGATTTTTTCCTGTTTGTGTCAAATTGTAATTCTTTTCCTTTGTTATTTCATCAATTTGATCATACTCTTCTAGTTTGTAATCCTCTGTCTGATTTGTTTGTTCCTTTGTTGTTATTTCCTGGGTATTTTTTAATTGTAGATTTAAATTGGAAATATGCTTATTTAAATCATCAAAGTTGTTTCAAATTTTGTCATAGTTTGAATCTATTGTCATTTGTATTTGTCCTAACATTACATATATTTTCTCCGGGAAAGTATTTATCTTGCCTTGAAGTATTGCTTCTGGAGGCCCTTGATTTTCCAAGCTAAGTCCTTCAGGAGAAAATATTGAATGTGGCATCCTGTCATTTTTTGATATGTATGAGATATCCATGTTGTCTTCCCCCTTCAAATAATCTTTCATCAAAGTTTTAATTCAAAAGTCAATTTATCAATCAATCAAAATTACAGATTCAGGATATTAAGCCACTTTAAATTCTTCCACCAAATTCTCTTATTATTTATTTATTTATTTATTTATGAGACTTATATACCGCTTTAAGTGCAAGCACTCTCTAAGCGGTGTACACCAGTAAGCAATGTATATATATATATATTTACATTGCCCCCAACAATCTGGGTCCTCATTTTACCTACCCCGGAAGGATGGAAGGCTGAGTCAACCTTGAGCCGGTGAGATTTGAACCGCTGACCTGTGCCAAAAAGCCAAGGTTCCTCCCCCACCCATAAACAGTTCTTAGGTTTAAACAACAGTCCAGGTGGGGTTTTTTTTTTCTTTTTCTTTCAAACACTTTTTAATCTTACAGCTGGCTCTTCCTTTGTTCCCAGCTGTCTTCAAGGTTATTTGCAATTCAAAGGAACAGCTTGTTCTTTATTTCTGGGCATTCTGCCAATTTCTGATTCCTTATTGTTAGTGTTCTATTCTCTGATTCTTCACTAGATGTCAGCAGTTATTTCTTTTTTCAGTTTTTCTTTCCATCAAAAAGTTATTTTTGTTATATATTTTTATAATTCCACAGAAATTGTTTAGGGTATAGTCTTGACAGTTTTTTAGTTCCTAGATTTGTTCAGATTAAAATATTTTAAATCAAATTTTAGTATATCTCTTTCCACTTTTATGTTAATTCGCTGCTTTCGTCTGTAAGGGAAGGGGGTTCCCTCCCTTCACTTCTGGAGGTCTTCTTGCTTTGGGGATCTTTTCAAGGATTTAAATAGTAGATAGAAAAAAGAAGATCAGTACTCTCACCAATTCTAAGCATGCTGTTCACGTTGTTTGTGCTCTGGGACTTTGGCTGCAAGCAGCTTGGGCTAGACTAGGGGTAGGCAACCTTGGCTCTTTTATGACTCATGGACTTCAACTCCCAGAATTCCTGAGCCAAAAGAGCCAAGGTTGCCTACCCCTGGGCTAGACGCTGATCTCATGCTAGTCTTTCTCCTGTCGGGTTCCGGGGGCTTTCCCCAGATCAAACGTGATCGACAGGGCGCCCTTCCTTCACAGTCACCTCTCCAGGGCAACTTCGGACCCCTCTAGGGACCCCCAAGCAGGAAGAAACTAGACGTGGGAAGCAGAGAACCGCTCTCGCATGGCCATGTGCTGCAAACGCAAAAATCGGAAGTCCCAGATTTTCAAACATTAATTGTATGTGGGTGGGTGAGATGGGATAACACTGTACATCTAGCAGCATTGAAATTAATCTACACGCTCAGGGATGCAGTTGTAATGGCAAGTGTCCTTGTGCATAATTTTATATGCACTCATGTGCTGCTAAAAACATTTTTAAAAATATTCCAGAGACATGTATACACATTCATACACAATTAAAAACAATTTTTACCTTACAACTGGTGACATATTCGCCCCTTCCCTTACGAGATGCTTTTGTTTGGCATATCATTTGTACACGGGATTACAGTGACCCTGTGCATGCTTAGTCTACTCTAGAACATGTAAAAGGATCCAGGAAGTATTTTTCTTGTGCATCCCAAAATGTGTCCCTCATCATTACTTTAGTGCCATCAAGCTCAACAAAGATGGGAATAATGCAGACATTGTTACTCCATGCTTGAAGAGAAGGTTCACTTCTTGTAGCAACTGCCCACATTTCTCCTGGGTGATTCGATTTCACATTGATGCAAAGAGAACTAACTTGAAAAGAGGTGAGTAGGCAGTGAAAGTGAAAACTGAATGAGGGTAGAAAAAAGCTTTAAGAGAAAGAGACAGAAACTTGATGGTAAGCTAAAGGCCTATTTACAGAATGTAAGGGCTGATAAAAAATAATGCCTTACCTCCTCAGGTTTAGTTTACATAAATAGTTTAGCTTAAATAAATAAACCAGAAAATAATCCTTAAGATCAGCCCTTTTATTACCTGTATTTACTTCTCTACATAATTTTCATTTGAAACACACTTCTTCCAACAAAGGATAAGTTTATTAAAGCTGTTGTGAAAGAACTCCATACTTTATCTCTTCAACTTCACAACCTCCTGAATGGCTCACAAGGTGTGAGGCCCAGGCTTGTCATGTTGCAGCAAATATCTTTCTTGTGCTTTCAAATTTATCTTAATTATTTGTTGACCATTGCAACTAAATATTGCAAAAAAAAAAAAAAAAAAAAGCTCATCTCAAGGCTCATCTGAAGACATCACTTTTTATTCAACCCTTGTAAGAAGAGACTGCCCCCCCCCAACTCTGGTTTCTAAGGTTGCTCAAGCCACTGCACCATGAATTACAAACATTGCCAAAAGGCAAAAAAAATTAATGAATAGGAGCTTTGTGAATACTTTGCTTCTGCAAGGGAAGCAGCACCAGAATAGGGAAAATAGGAGCAATTATTATCAAGTTTGGCAGCATCTTTAAGATTTACACGAGACAATGGCGAACCTTTTAGAGATTGAGTGCCCAAAACCCACCCCTGCCTCTCTGCCCGCCACACCCCGCCCCGCTCCACGCCCCACCCGCTCCACCCCCCCAAGGCCACCCACCGCCTCCATGGCCCACCGCAGTAGATCACCCAGGTGGCCCAGTAGCGCCATGGCAGCCATGCCCTCCGCCCGTGCCCCGCAGCATCATCTGTATGCGATGGGGTGTGAGGGCGGAGTCTTGTCCCCGCTGCCTGACTGCCATGTGCTTGGCTGTGCTGCTCTATGCGGTCTGCGCCTGGAGGTGACTCTCCTCCAGAGGGGCTGCTGGTGAGAAGGGGGCTGCGGGGGGATACAGGGCTGGGTGACAATGTGTGTGCCCACAGAGAGGGCTCTTAGTGTCGTCTCCAGCACACGAGTCATTGGCTCGCTACCACAGGCATAGCAGTAGGAAGAATCCATTCTTGTTATACCTGTCCACAGATGGCAAATAAGATACTTCCCCCTTCCACCACCAGTTGCTTAGTATTGCTTGCCTTCCTGATTTACCTGGCTGACGATCAAAGGGATTGAGGGGTTTGCTCACTATGCTCAGCTCTTTGTCAAGGAAACTCTTCACCTGGGACTCTTTGGCAGCCTTGCTCAACTCTGCCATTTCTGCCTTCTTTTCATTCTTCTGTTTTTCATAAGCCTGCAGGTGCCAAAAAGGAGGCATTTACTAAGGAACCATTCTACTGCTGTTCTACTTTTCAGCATGTCAATTGTAAAGCAAATGCTTCTGTTCTATCTAAGAGATGTAGGGCAAATATGAAGTGGAGATAACTGTGCTCATTAAAAGCAAAGGAGTAGTCCAAAGTAAAAAAAAAAAACAGAGAGAGAGAGAGCAATTGGCTTCATGATTTCTTTTAAATAGAAAAGAGTTTGAGCAAAAAATGAAAAGCTTGATGACAATTAGATGAAAAACTAGACTCTAGCTATGGAATGCCCAGCCAACAGCAGAGCAAATACATCTAATGGATCCCAATAACCCAGCCTTATAACACTGAGGAGCACTGAGGAGTCACGATACTAGATACCCAAACAAGTAACCGAGACATAAACATAAAGCAAAGTTTCATTTCTAGCTTAGTAGAGATGTAGTCTTGCTAAAAAGTGCTGATTTTTTTTTTTGCCTACATTCCTCTAATGTAGCACTATCACCTGAAGAGAGAAAAAGAGGAGCCATTCCCATGAATAGCCTCCAGAATGGGACTTGAAGATATGCCAACTAGAATATATGAGAATCATTGTGTGTCCTTTGTATTTTTTGATACTCTGAATCCAAGTCTGCCCAAAAGACATAACAGTTAAATCTCTTTTTTACCTCCTGTACACTGATCAGGAATCAATGGTCAATAAGGTCCATATCAACTTTTACTAAAGAGAGTGAGTCTCAGTCACTCCCGTTCTTTAAATTTATCTTCCAGTTCTAGAGAAAGGATTTATTTATTTGTATTCCACCTTTGTTATTTTTATAAAAAAACTCAAGACAACGAGCATATCCAGTACACACTTTTCCTCCTCCTTGTTTCCCCACAACCACCACCTCATGTGAGGAGAAATGGGCTGAGAGAGACTGACTGGCCCAAGTCTCCTAACTGGTTTTTACAGTTAAGGTGGAACTTCAACTCATGATCTCCTGTTTTCTAGCCTGGTGCCTTAACCGGTAGACCAAAGCAAGAGAAACCAAATCTGGCCACAGACATGGAATTCATCTGTGGTTTTCAGTCAGATCCTAAATTTATTATTTTATAATGTTTATATATTAATTCTAGGAAAAAATTCTCAAAGCTGTTTATAGAACAAAACTGAATAACCACCAAAAATCTTTCTGGTTTCTACCTCTACTTCCACATCCTTTCTTGAACAGACTGTTCCTTAAATCTTGCAGCCTCATTGGTCAGATAGTATCAGGCCCTCTTAGCCGTTAGGCAATGATTGTCAGAGGCACTGGAAATCTTTCTGCCTCAAAGTGAGCCTGCAGTGAATCACAGGCAAAGGATAAAGGCTTTTGATCTGGATAAACGGTACTGAAGAAAACAGGCCTATGAAAAGAAGACTAAAATAATTCATGTGAATTGTTACAAAGATAAAGTGTCAGTAAGTCCTTATAAAAAATGCAAAACACTCACTAAAGAAACCATACTAAGCTTACTTCAGCTAAGTCAAGTTTACTGGGTTAATGTTCATGTTATAAAGCACAGATATTTTATGTTATTGGGATTTATACAGTTCTTTTCTGCATCTTCTTTCATTTGCTAGCTTTTTAGACATAGTCTTCCAATATATCTATTAAAGCTGACATTCAGGTATGAAGCCAACCACCCTTGTAGCTGTCCATATTGGCATACCTTCATCTGACGGGCAATTTCCTTTTTCTGATGTAGGATATACTCCAGGATAGCTTCTTTTTCATAGAGGTATCCATCAGGACTGGAAAGGAGAAGGGGGGAAAGCAAGATAAATATCACTTGTAAACTCACCACTCCTAAAGGCCCCGTGCCTCTTTGACTACAGTGAGAACTTCAGAGCATAACTATACTTAGTTATTGGTTCCTGTATTCTAGGATGCATCTGAAAAGTCATAACATATGTTTAATTGAATGGGGCACATTTTTAATGTCCAGGGTGACTCTTAACCCTTTCGAGATAGCTACAGAGAAGAAATAAATAGTTTATTTTTCTGAGTTTGGGACAGGAAGTTGGAGGGGGGGGGGTTAATTTTTAAATACAGTAACCCTATTTTTAGTTTGTGGGACAAAATATCAAGAAACCATACCACTGCAATTAGAGGGCGCTTTATGGGCCGCAAAAAAGTGGCTCAGAAAACACATGGTAAAACTGCAGGGTCAGGGAAGAGAGAAATGAAATCAACAGAATTCACTGGTCTTTGTTGCTTTAAATCTTGTCCACATTACTCCCAATTCTGTAACAGTTCCCATATTCTCCCCACACACACACTGACCTACTCTCCTCCAAAAAATAATTTTTTCTTGCACCAATGATTATTAGAAATAGTAATCTGTGGATCACAACACTACAATGCATAAAATAGTTCTCATAAAGCATTTCATGTGTAACAATGGATACATGAAGTACCTGATCTGTGTTCCATAGATGGACTTAAATTTCTAGGGAGAGGGAGCATTGTGGCACAGAGACATATTGAATTCATGTTCCAGATTTTAACCTCAATTCCTTTATGAAACAGAAGGAAGGAGGATGGCACCAACAAAATTAAGATTGTGCAGGAAGGGTACAAAAGAGATAAATGCATCCCTTTGTGATTCTTCCCCCTGCTCCTGTAAAAAGTAAAAACTGTAATCCTTTTTTATATATATAACTGAGGGATTTAAAAGGCAAAGTGTATCTATTTCACCCTTAAATTTCCTTTCAAAACAAAGCTTGGGCCAGCACTAAATGTGTCATGCAAATAATAAAGTACTGTCAAGCAGCAAAAGGTGCACATTACTTCATCTATACAAATATACATTAAAAAGGCTACTACATTTGTAAAAAAAAATCAACAGGCATATGTAGCAAATGAACAAATAAATTAATGGTACTCGACAAGGGTAATTATCTTTTCTTTTTTGAGATTACATTATTGATAAAGTTTAAAAAAAGGCACATGGGGCAGAACTTCAACATAAGACTTTGAAATATTTCAGATGGATCCAGTCTGATAATTACGTTACAACAGGGTCCTTGCAGGGTTGCAAGGAGAGACAGCAGCAGTCGAAATCCTTGACAGCATCTTTGCTCAAACGAACATTCTGTGTCCCATAACCAGAGGCAGCTGAAAAAACAGAGAAAGGTCACAGTAAGAGTGCAGTGTTGAAAAAAAGCTATCCAAATGGCTGCTCTGGATAGCTACTTAGATCTGGCAAAAGATAACAACTGATGACACTCTAACCAGGAAAGCAGAGTTTGCCAAGAATGCTCAGCTTGTTCCAAAGCTTGCAGTGTGAATTAGTATGAGTTTCAATGAAATACTGGGGCATATTAATCATACTCCAGGGGTGCGACCCAAACTCTGGACTAGCCTAGAAATTCTCCCAATATCCAGTTAGTCATAAACAGCACAAAGGTAACTGCCTCCCAGTTCAGCCTTCTTTATTTCAATATATTATGTCTGAAAATGTGAGCAAGCCAAAGGGTGGGGAGAAATTACTCCCAAATGTGACAGTCCTCTGAACCCTTTTTCTATAAAGCAGGGGTCCCCAACCCCCGGTCCGTGGACCAGTACTGCGCCATGGCATGCCAGCACCAATCTGCACAAACAAGCAAAGCCCCATCTGCGAGATGCAGATAGTACATGAAAGCACGACCCTCCGGTTCACGGAAAAACCTCTCTCCACAGAACAGTCCCTGGTGCTCAAAAGTTTGGGGACCTCTGCTATAAAGGCAATAGGAAGAGGAGACCATTTAACTACACACAGAGGATGCCAGATAACAAGACCTAGGGACTTCATGAAAAACTTTTCTTTCCACTGAATAAATGAAAAGAAAATATTTGTAACTATTCCTATTTTACCAATATATCTCTCCTATCCCACTGAAAACATCCTCTTCACATAGTAGTCTCCTGCATTGTGGATTGCTTTTCCTCAATTTGATTTCTGTCATACCTAGCCAGCATGCCAATTAATATGCTAGCAGCACAAAATGAAGATTGTAGTTCAACAGACACAGCAAACACAGGTTAAGAAAAATTGCTTTGAATTTCAAATGCAATTCCACTATTGCAATGGTAGGCAAAATTTTCCTCAACTAAGGAAGCACTGCATAAATACTTCAGTTTGTGACCTCCTCACCTGTGTCTTTTCTCTTTTCATGGTAGGTGTAGACAGCTCCTGCTGTACAGTTCTTGCCATGACGTGTCATGTAGGCGTAGCTGGACAATCCAGGACAAAACCAACTCTCTTCTAACAAGAAGATATCAAATTAACTCTAGCTAATGAAATACAATGCCAGGTACAAAGAAGCTGATATTTTTACACAAGAAGCAGATTAAATAAACCCCATGGCTAGTGGTGGAGAATTAAGGAGGAGTAGACTATATAAAAAAATATTTATAGGATGATTGAATAGGTGTATATGGGCTAAGCCTATATTAAAGATTAAAGATCTTTAAAGCTTTAAAGATATTAAAAACACCGAGATACAAATTAGCCAGGTATATGATGCGAACCTAGTCACAAGCCACACACTTTGACCAACGAAGCCAGCAGTCTCTGGCAGTTTTTCGGGAAGACCTTCCGGCTGTAAGTATCAACGTCGAAAGCGATCGGCTGTGCCGACAGCAAGTGAAACTTTTGACAGATGCCTGGTTGGGGTTGTAAATCAAAACACCTCAAAAGGAGACAGTGAAAGGTTGGCACCTTAGCAACTATTCCTAGCCCGTAGGCACTATACTGTAACTTTTTTCTGCCGCTCCTGCCGTTTAAGAAACACTCAAGAAGACCACGGTTTCCACACACAACCCCGATCAACTTGTCCCACAGAACCGGAAGCAGGAAGTCTATGAATCCGGAAGGGCTCCAAAGAACGATATTCCGGATGTGTATAGGATAAAGCGTCCCGCGAGCAAGGCAAAAAGGGTTTGAGGACGGAATAGTCTGCCAAGCCGACGTTCCTGTCGTTAAAGAAGCGTTCAGGTGTCTGTGGCTTTTGTCTGTGTGTGTTGTGGCCTTTTTAAAAACGTCCTCAAAATCTTTTCTCCAAAATTCCTTTTCAGGTGTGGGGAGAGAGATTTTGGGAGGGACAAGGGGCCTCTTCCTCTTAAAATATCTCCAAAATATGAGTATATAGATTCTCTTTGCAGTTGCTGTTTCTTTGGATCAGCTGTTATTTTCTAATAATTGCACTTACTTAGCTATAGTAATATATTTCATACTTCTCTTATTCCAAAAGATATTTGGAGCAGAGTAGGCTACTTCTGTAGTACGAATATTTTGAGGGTCATTAATCCTGGTGGCTGAGACTGATGAAAATTATTTTCTAAACTATCCAGAATGTACTATGCCCTAAGCCTTGTCATTTCTTAAAAGAGTGATTTACCTAACTTGCTATTTCCAGTTAACTTTCCCCAATCTAATTGAAAGTTGTGGGTATTGTAATTTGCGTAAGTAGGAAATTAGATAGGGAAGGCTATTCTTGCGTTGTCAGTCTTTTGTAATGCTCTAAAATAAAAGTGGGAAATGCAATTGTGTTGTATTTACCTATATCAAGGATATACATGTAGTCCTCAACTTACAACCACAACTGAGCCCAAAATTTCCATTGCTAAGCAAGACAATTCTTAAGTGAGGTTTGCCTCATTTTATGACCTTCTTGCCACAGTTGTTAAGTTAGTTACACAGCTGCTAAGTGAATCTGGCTTCCCCATTGATTTTGCTTGTCAGAGGGTTACAAAATATGACCTTGGGACATAGCAACCGTCATAAATATATGCCAGTTGCCAAGTGTCTGAATTTTGATCATATGACCATGGGGATGCTGCAATAGTCGTAAGTGTGAAAAAAAATCATAGGTCATTTTTTTCAGTACCGTTATAATTTTGAATGGTCACTAAACTAACATAAGTTGAGAACTATCTGTATGCTCCCTCAGAGTTTGCAATCCACCAAAGATCTTATATAAATCACCACCTCTTATCAAACCAGAGAGGGAGAGAATTTTAATATCTCCTGGCAGACACTTTCCAAGCGTACTTTAGCAGAAAAGTAATGCTATCTATTCAGTCCAACTAGTCAATTGTTAGGTTCTTCTACCAGAACTAACCCCCTCAGCCCAGATTTGTGAAAATGATGTTTTTGATCTACCAGTCTAAAAAAACCAGAAATACAAAACTGAATAAGCCTTGTAGCTATTCTGAAATGGGATAGCATAGGAAATGTTTTAGTATGAAATACACTTATAAAATCTATGAAAGTAGATCTTTGGATATAAACAAAGATTTTACAGGGGCTGGGGAAATAGAGGGAAAACAACTATTACCTAAACAGAATACTATATAAAATCAATGTAGTCAGCAAAAATAAAGTAGTTAGTTGTTACCGAAGGTCCTGATTTCAACCTATTTATGTTTATTGTAGAAAGGTGGGGGAAAATGGGGCTGTGTAGGAATATGATTTTAGTACTTTTTGTTTACACAGAAGTTTCTCCTGAGCACTGATTTTACAAAAGGTGCGAATTGGGGACAAAAGCTAGTCTTTAGAATGTCTAATGCTTTGCCCAATCAAGAAAATGCTCTGGGCCCAACCAGCAAATCAAAAGTCATCTAAAGACTAAAGTCATTTTCAAAAGACTTGATGGAATTATAAAAGCACAATCTACCTTTCAGTAGATTTCGCTTTAAATAGAAAAAGCCCGCTTGGACCCAAAAGCTAATTTTCATCTATTCATATCTCACAGCATGGATTAATTTATCAGATCCTTTAGGGTGTACTGTGCACCTTTGCCAAAACTAGGATTGGCCTTCCCATCAAAATGAATTTTTTAACCACAAGGTGGAAGAAATTTTGAAATGGTTAATGTGCCTATATGAAGATGAAAGGCTTTTCTCCCTGGCAGTCTTAAGATGCTTATCTCACATGCCATAACCATATCTTGCACATGCCACAGCTCTAACTTATATCGTGCTGTGCTCTTCCAGGGTACAAATCTGGGACTCAGCAACTGGATTCAGCAGGGCTATGAAGTTTTCCATAAAGAAATGTCTTTATCTATCTACCTACCTACCTACCTCCCCAACTCATACAGAGGTAACTCTGGGTGGCTTACAATAATAAAAATCCAAAATCAACCCTTTGATTGGCTCCATTTTCATTTGTGGTCTCCAGGCCTGCTGTCAAAAACAACTTTTTCAGGGCTTTTAGAAAAGCAACAGTGTGGGGAAACAATTGTATCGAGGGGGGGGGGGATGATTTTTCTTAGAGAAAGGGCCATCATCAAAAAGATCCTTTTTTCATGCTCTCACCAAATGTATATCTTTGATAGATGGAACCCACAATATAACCTGCCTTCCTGTCCTGGTGGACCAGTGAATATAATAGGGGAGGGAGCAAACACAAACATTTTGAGCAAATACCAGCTTCTGGCTATCTCAGAGGCCCATGTAAACCCTTCTTCATTGTGGGAGTTGCTTACAATTCTCTTTTGCTCACATCTGACATAATAGGTCATGTTTTCCTCCCCACAGAATTCATCATACATTGACCTCACCTACATTGAACTGACCTGCATCTAACTGCTGTGCCAATAGTGTATTTCTTTTAGAAACACGCTGCTGCAATCCATGCTGTATTGTTGAACCCTAATATGTCTGCTTCCTGTCTACATGTACACTACCATACTGTGCTATGTATAATCCATTTCCCTATAATATAATTCCAACAGTGCTTTGCTATTGCCCATAGCCAAACACCTCTCTTCAGGAGCTAGAAGAAAAGAAAGCAGATATGCAAAGCAGATCCTGAAATTCTGCTGCCTTTTTGAGCTGCATTGCCACTCTGTACAGAATGCTTTATAAGCTTTTGGTGATTGTGTCCACAGTCTCTACTATGTGCATTCTTCACACAGCCACAACAATCAGCCCATCATCAAACACACAGCAGAGGAAGAGTCACTGCTTCCAGGTATTCCTCACCACTTATTACCTTCTCCAGTACAGCACTCAAGAGTACAGCACCAGGAATCACATTAGCCTTGCTTGCTGCACTAATATAATAATGGGCAGCAGAGCTTGCTATGCAGCTTAATTTCAGTTAATAATGTATAATGAATAGATGCTTGAATGCTACTGTGAGAATAGTACCAACAATCAAGCTTGCCACTTGTTTATTAAAAATAAAAAATATGTGACTGCAGTTGTAGCAGGCAGGAGCTGAGTGCAGAAATATTATCTTCTGCTGGCTTCGCACCCGGGCGGTTTCCTTCAAGTTCTTCCCCACCATGACCACCACGACTACTTACACGGGGATGGACCCCAGTGGCCGAAGTAGCTCCAGGGTCCTTCGTCCCCCAGGTGGTGGTTCTAATTTCAATTTAGGATTTGATTTGCCAAAAGACCAGCAAGGAGGAAAAAGGAACAGGATGGCATCTTGCATCTTTGGGACTCCAGAAGAAAATCCACCATCTTGGGCTAAGTCAACAGCCAAGTCCACCGAAGTCAATAATTCTGAAGCAGTTGGATCTGAAAGGAGAGGTTCTTCTGATGCAACCTCTGGTGATTGTGTAACTCCAAAAAGTGTGGAAAGTGAGGCTCCTGAAAACACAGAAGAAACTGCTTCAGGCTTAAGTGAAGAAAAGCCCCTACCAGCTGCACCTGTTCCAAGCCCAGTAGCTCCAGCACCTGCACCATCCAGGAGAAATCCACCAGGGGGGAAGTCTAGTCTAGTGCTCGGTTAAGCTCCATTTTTCTTCACTCCTTAACGCTTGGAACTCGTATCTGTCATCTTTGTTTTTCTTCCATGCTTGTGAACTGCACAACTTGAGCTTGACTGTACTTCTAAAACTACCATTAAAGGAGCACTTTATGTACTTCATATTTTTTTTTTGTTTTCTTTTTTTCAGCCAATCTTTTCCCAAACTTCTTGTCTTTTCTCTCTTGAGTCTAACGGAAGTGACATGTGTAATTTTTTTTCGTAATGGTAGACAGTGGTATTTATTACACAGCCCATGGCTGACAAAAGATTTCTGAGGTGTATAGTAGTGTCTGAAACTAAGCTGGATTAAATTCTGAGTGTGCTAAGTGGCATTTTGTCCTAAAACGTGTAGAACAGTCTTAATTGACTTAGAAGGGTTGGAAACTGGGATTGTACAGGTAGTGGATGAGTGACAAATGTATTCTCTTTCTGTATACAACTCTGCAACATATTTTTCCAAGGTATCATTCAATAATTGGTAAATGATTGAAGCCCTGTTGTGCACTGAAGAACTATCAAGTTGTGATGCGAGATATTAACCATTCTCCCTTGGATCTTGGTTCAGTCATAACAGGATGAGGCTGAAGATAAACTTAAATGATGAGGGGATGCATCTTACAAAAGTAAGTATTGGGTGGATAAAATTTTGGGGACACATTCCCTGTCCAAACAACTCCAATACTATACATGATCATGCTGATGTTTAAACAGAAGGTGGAAAAACTTCTAAATGTGTATTGTACCTTGAAAGCTGGATTGTTGCTTAAAAATAAAGGATATAGAAATTTTGAAAAAAAAAATAAAAAATATGTGTCCCTGTAAGACTTCCCTTTTAGCGCTACACTGAAGGTCATGTGTATAACTTGTCAATTTTTAAGCTGATTTTTGGAGGCATACGTCTCTTGTGATAGATTAGAACTGGAAGAGCATACGAAAAGCCAAGAGATAAGCTGAACATCTGAATGAGCCATCTGTTCAGTAGAAGTGTACACATCTTCTGCAAGTCATCACTGAATGTCTTGGTCTTGTGGTCTTGGTCAAGTGGTAAACATGAATAAATGAATTGGTCCTAAGTGTATCATCTCAACCTTGGCAGGTATGTGGCTCTAAATAAATAAATAAATAAATAGGGAAAAATTTCCACCTATCTTTGAATTCCCTTCCCACTCTAAAGCTCATGAAGTTTCTAAGCATTGAAACACAAATAAGTAGAATCCATTCTTGTAGCTCTCTCTTCCCTTAGGCTAGAAAACCTATTGAACTATTGAGCAATCAAAACTGAAAAGTGTTGATGCTTCTAAGCAAATAAGTGTGACAGCAAAGCTAGATGCATTGCTAATATAGAAAAGCTGTGGCTGGATCACTGCCAGATGATATCTTGCTATAAAACAAAGTGCTGCATTACAGTCAGTTATGTGGGTTATAATCAACATCACTCTGCCATCAAATACCTGCCATTTGATAGAATCTACTCTTTAGGAGAAAGGACTACCAATAAACATTTGGTCTACTATTTCTGGTACAAATGGCTATTTTTCATATAGTGGCTATTTCTGGTGAACTGCCTACCTTCTCTATTATTTGCTTGCTGTGTTTCTCACCTGTGATTTATGCAGTGTGGAATTCTGCCCTTGACGAATCATATCTATCAGAAATAAAAAGGAAACATTTTGCAGTCCATAAGTTTTATCTTCATCTTCTTGAGTTACTAAAATGTGTTAGTAGTCCATATCTTCAGAGCTTCTTCGTGCAATACAAATATATCAAACCCAAATCACTTGCTTCATAGAGAAAACTTGGTTAATAAGAGAATGCAGACAATAACAGTAATTTAATAGCCTTGAAAAAAAAATGTAATAAACTCTAGTAATCTTACATGTCAGCATAACCATCTTAGTCCTCAACTGGCTAGAACTGGTTCTTAGGCTATTTTCAGATGGAGAATGTGTAGAATGCAGGTGCTATAAATCTTTAAAAAGAGGCACGTGCAGGATGATGTGATTTTGTTTGAATATTCATAATTAATTACATAAATATTAGTTAAATGAATATATTTGTTTATGAATATATTTATATATGAATGTATTAAAAAGCCAACACAGTGCTAGGCTGCATTGACAGATAAAATCAAGATCACATGAAATGTTAATACCACTTTACAATGCCTTGGTAAGGCCACACTTGGAATACTGCATCCCATTTTGGTCACCACGATGTAAAAAAGATGTTGAGACTCTAGAAAGAATGGAGAGAAAAGCAACAAAGATCATTAGGGGACTAGAGATTAAAATATCTAAGGCAGTGGTTCTCAACCTTTTTATATGGTGACCCCGGTCATAAGCAGGTGGCGCGCATGCGCGGCGGTGCCCCCTGCATGGCACGCATGTGCGGGCCTGCCCCCTGCGCAGTGCGCATGCGCGGGGCTGCCCCCTGCGCAGTGCGCATGTGCGGCGGCCCCCCCTGCGTGGCACGCATGCGTGGGCGGCGCCCCCATGTGCCGCTTCTGCACAGCATGCATGCGCGGCAGCGCCTCCTGCACCGCCCCCTGCATGGCGCGCATGTGCGACGCCACCCCCTGCGCCGGCTGACGAAAAAAAATGGCGGATCGCGTTGTTTGGCGACCCCCGTGAAATGGTCGTTCGACCCCAAATGGGGTCGCGACCCACAGATTGAGAACCGCTGATCTAAGGAATGGTTGCTGGAACTGGGTATGTCTAGTTTAATGAAGAAAAGGACAAGGAGTGACATGATAGCAGTATTCCAATATCTCAGGAGTTGCCACAAAGAAGAGGGAGTCAAGCTATTCTCCAAAGAACCTGAAGGCAGGATAAGAAGCAATGGATGGAAACTAATCAAAGAGAGAAGCAACCTAGAAGTAAGGAGGAATTTCCTGACAATTAGAACAATTAATCAGTGAAACAACTTGCCTCCAGAAGTTGTGAATGCTGGAAGTTTTTAAGAAGAGACTGGACAGCCATTTGTCTGAAATGGTATAAAGTTTTCTTCCTGTTCAGGGGGCTGGACTAGAAGACTTCCAAGGTCCCTTCCAATTCTATTCTATTCTATTCTATTCTATTCTATTCTATTCTATTCTATTCTATTCTATTCTATTCTATTCTATTCTATTCATGCTACTTTTGTTTCTCTATGCATTTTCATTTCTTGAGAAGTGCTTGATGATCACCACTCTTCCTTATATAATCAAGGTAAACCTTATTAACTCTCTCAGTTCTGTTAGTTGACCCATACAGGATATCGTAGTTGGCTTCAATGTGCTGGCAGATATTTCCATTGGTTAATCATCAGGTTCCTGACCCCACATGACCTTACTATAATTATTTTTCAGATTCTTTTAATAAAAAATTTAAAAGAAAACTTGCATGATGCAGAAGTTAGTGCCGTCTTTAGAATTATTTACAAGAATGCTTCTAGCTTCCACAGGTCTCTTATGCACTCATAGGACATGTGCACTTAATCTCAATGTAAGCTGGTGAAGATTTCCCCCTCACCCTTTTAGATTTTAAGATGGTTTCTACCAGTTCGGCTTAGCTGTTTCCTTTTTCTTTTTGAACAGGTGAGCACAATTCCAAGAAAACCCTGAACTGTAGTCCCTTATCATTTTAATTTTTAAAACCAAATTTGCACATTTTTAATTTAATCAGCGGTGACCCCAGCAAATAACCCAAATTTCCAAACCAGCCATTTTTCAGTTATAAGAGAGACTGTTACCTACCACTTGGATCCAAATTTAATTATTCAATACTATATCTTAAGTTGGTCTTCCTATTTCATCCAAAGAGAAGAATGTTTCTTTAAGTTTACTCTCCCTTTGGCTCTTTGACACAGCAATGGATATTTAGATTAAATGATATTCCTCTAGCTGGCTATCTCTGTTTCTCCTTTATTTCCACAAAATACTTCTTCCAGTCCAAAGGGCTTTGGCTACTGTAGATTTTTATTTTATTTTTCAAATGGTTAAAAAGTGTCAATCTGAGATATACACACACATATACAAGAAAAATGTTGGCATTGCTAAAATGGCTTTGAGGATATCTTAAAGGTCTGTTTCTTATCCACTCAAGGCAGTCCTTGACTCAAAAACAAGAATCATCTGATTGTAGCATTGGAAAAGTAGGGAATGACACACTTAAAATATGGAAATTCTCTCCTGATTGCTTAGGTGATATTATCCTTGACTTGAGAAAAAATTAATTTTTCATTTAATTTTAGCTTTAATTCTGAACCATCTCCTGCCTCCTTTGACTGGTCTGTAGTTCCTCCTTTCCTACCATAGTGATGGGAGACAAAGCCTAACAGCTTTCAACCTGCCTCATTCAGGGGCTGGAAACAGGATTAAGATGATGTTATTGGGACAAGGCAGAAAACAGATGTTCAAGCTGTGGTTAGGAACAAATCAGGAAAGGACCCCAGTGAAAAAAATTACACCCTGCTCAATTCAATTAGCATCTGATAGAGTTGTTTACAACTTGAGAGCCAGTTTGGTCTAGTGGTTAAGGCACCAGGCTAGAAAGCAACAGACCATGAGTTCAAGTCCTGCTTTAGACATGCAAACCAGCTGGGTGACCTTGGGCCAGTGACTCTCTGAGCCCAACTCACCTCACAGGGTTGGTGTTAAGAGGAAAAAAGAAGTGTTGGGTGGATATGATACATTCATTGCCTTGAATTATTTGTAAAAATTATGAAGATGGGAAATAAACAACAAACAAACTTTTTATGTTCATGGACTGCTTTCTATAATGAATCAATTGATCCAGTGTCCATTGTAAATTTCCTATGCATGAGCAGCTTAGTTGAAACTACAGTGATGTAAGTGTAGGCTGAAATTGCTTCTCACCATGCTGGCTTGGAATTCTGGGAATCTTAGTTCTTATTCCTTTTGACATCCCCAGACTGGAGGGACTGGCAGACTGTAGTATTTTCCAGAGCATGTTCTGCCACATACAACTGATTATCAGGTCTTTTGGATTCATCTTTGCCCTGTTAATATTTTGTGTAATAAATAACCCAATACTTCCCTGTGGCTGCATATTAAGATTACAAGTATGGAGCAACCTGTCTTTCAGGAAACTGAGCTATAAACCATTACGGTACTGATCTTGTGATAAAGGACCAAACTAGACAGGAAACACCAGGGCTCTGTTGACATAGTGGTTTAGTGAATTAGCTCAATTGCTTAGATTTACAAAATAAATTGAAACATATTGTTGGATTTGTCCAATACAAAAGCCACAAATTTGCCAACTCTAAAGATTTCCATGCCACATCTATTTTTACCCCTCTCCTTTAAAAACAGTTTAAAGACAACTGTGATAATCTTCATTGCTGCCAGCCTTGAAATACTAGAGAACAATGGGGTATAAAAACTCTAAAAACTCCTTTAAGTTGATGCTATGCCTGTTGAGACCACAGCATCTAGAGAAAAAAACCCTCCTCCAATTTATACTACTACAACAGAATAAAACATATTGCTAATAACGTTCCTCTGCATTTTCTCGATATTGCATTTCTCTGGCCCTTTGCAAAAACATCTGAATGGTATTTATGAAAGCTATCTGGATGACCTTGGGTCAGTCATTCTTTCTCAGCCCATCCCACCTCACAGGTTTGTTGTTGGGGAAAAATAGGTTTGTTCACCGCCTTGAATTATTTATAAAATTAATAAAGGCAGGAAATACATATGTACGTACATATGGTTTTAAAAGTGACTGCAAGCAAAACAGTACCTTAGCATTTATGCAACCAAGGGTTGTTCATGGTACTTCCTAGCAAAACTAGGAAAACACAGCAGATTATGGATTCAAACTGCTTTAATAGTTTGCAGATCCTTACTAATTTCCTAAGTACATAGTAGACCTTTAGAAAGGCACTTAAGAAAGGATCTTTCCTTAGGCAC